AAGTTTGTGGAGTTTGAATCATGTTTCCAAATAATGATGATGATATTCGAGCCAAGCCGAGTAGTTTCCCGTTTTGAGCTCGTGAAAGTTCTGTTTGGATCATTTAATTATAAACTTTAAACTTCAAATTAGAGAATAAATTCCACTCCACTCGTTTAATAAACAAACTCCTTGATTTATTGTTCGACTGATTAGTGTTGGCTTTATTAAATGATGCATATATATTGTGCCTTTTGAAATCAACATGAACCAAAATGCTAATATAGTAGCCTCATATGGATTTGTCATTAAATTTCAATTAATTCAATAATTGAAATGAAATAATTAAATATATAATTAAGAATGCTCTAGTTAATATATCTACAATAATATTGTTGTTAGGTGCTGGTGCAACATATTGCAGATTGGTCCCTAGGCTAAAGAGAAGGTATGACTATGGATTTATGATCTTCATCATGTCCTTTAGCTTGGTGGCGATTTCCGGCATTCGGGTCGACAAGGTGGCGGAGGTCGGCCGGGACCGTATAGCCACAATTGGCATCGGTTTTGCCGTCTGCATATTCGTGAGTTTAGTCGTATGTCCTATTTGGGCAAGCGACGAGCTTCACCGCTCCACGGCACATAAGTTCGATAAACTCTCGACTAGCATCCAAGGTAACATCGATCTGTGAGTTATTTGTACTGGTAGTTCTTATGTTAGTCTGTTTGTCTAACGGTTAGACAGTTTAACTGTATCATTTGTGTATTTATAGGGTGAAATCAAGACTTTATAGAGAGAAATATTAAATTATAATTTAATTTCATGCATATGTTTGATATCATGTATTTAAGTTCGATAAACTCTCGACTAGCATCCAAGATGACATTTGTGAGTTATTTGTACCGGCAATTCTTATGTTAGGCTGTTTCATGTTTGTCTGACCATCAGACAATCACATTCAAATGTCATACTTTGTTTCATGCATTTGTGTGTTTATATAGGTGGAATCGAGATTTTATAGAGAGGGAAAAATTATTTTATAACTTGACTTCATGTGGATATGTAATTAAATCGTTACATGGTTGATCTATTTATCTTTGGTGATATATAGGGTGCCTTGATGAATATTTCAAAATAGCTAGTGAGAAGGAAAATCAAGGGGCTATTGGCGGTGATTATATCCAAGCTTGCAAGGCCGTTCTCAACTCCAAATCCAATGATGAATTACTGGTTAGTTACCAGTTACCACATAGTAATCACTTTTACGAGTTCGTCTAACTGTTAAGCTGTTTGATCTATCACATATTTTAAAATACATAATTATACCATATAATGTTATACTAAAATTATTTTTAGATTATGACATTTCAATTTAAAAGTATACATATTTATTAAAAAAAATATAGGTAACAAACCATTAGATCTGTTTAACACCAACCTTACTAAATAATAATTAATACTTCCTCCTTTTTAAATTAGATGTCGTTTTGACTTTTTTGATTCATCTATTTTGTTACGTATCTAGACATATGTTTATGTCTAGATACGTAACAAAATAGATGAATCAAAAAAGTCAAAACGACATCTAATTTGAAAAGGAGGGAGTATGACTTATTTTTATGGTTAAATATTAATTAGCTCCATAAATAAAAGAATGCAAGTAGTCATCATTTTGACCAAAACCATTTTCAAATTTTGAAATCTGATATTTGGGCTAATTGAAAAGAAAAATTACATATGGTCTTGAAAATAGATAAGAAAATTATTAGTTTTTCAATTTATTTTTTTATTATAAACTGGTAGGCAAATCATGCAAAATGGGAACCTTGGCATGGGAAATTTGGATTCAGCCATCCATGGGCAAAATATTTGGAGGTTGGAGATCATCTAAGAGAACTTGCTGCAACAATTTTTTCCTTAAAACTATGCCTTCAATCATCAAAGCAGGTATATAATCAAATCCATCAAAATCGATTTATGCGGTTAACTTAATTTGGCCAATGCGACACAATTAATTAATTTGGCCACACAATCATACGTTT